CCTTAAAACATCATCAAAAAATCTATCCTTAAAACCCCTCAATCTCAATTCAACCTTGAGGGCAAACAAAAAACTCAGCTCTGCCCCCGGCATGTGGCCTCATTCGGGCTATCTTACAATGCTTGCGGCCTGGGCTTCATCCGGGCTGGTACCTGTCTGTGTTCCCATTGAGGGGGTCGAATGGGGGGTGAATCTGGGGAAGGGTCTCTGGGTAGGGATCTCATCTTAGGCAGGGGCGGGTGGGTCGTCACATTGGTAGTAGAGGGGTGGTAGACACCCGTAGAGTCTGCACTCATCTGAGACCATCAGAAGGCGTGGGTTGGTGTAGGTCTAAGTCTAGAGACAGGTCTGGGTTGCACCGTTGTAGGGCTCGACTTGCGATCTGATTAGGATAGCAAAAAAAGAGTTCACGAATGATGCCCCATGGAGGAGGGTTGTCACAAGCCATCTGAGCGCTCCACCGCTCAGGCCTTCGAAACCCTCGTGGTCGTGCTGAACTTTTCCTAAGGTGGCGCGGTGGAGGGTGGCTGGCGGCAGGAGGGCGACGATGTTGTGGTGCCTGAAGTTTCACAGGTGGCTAGCAGCAGGAGGCCGTGAGAGGGTGACTACCATCGCCAGGTGAGTGGATGGTGGTTTGGTGGAGGAAAGTGGTTGGACGAAGTTTATTGGGCATTGTGTGAACGGACATGAGAGGCGTCATCCTGCGATGTTGTGCTTTTGGTCGAAGAGGAGGAACATTGTGAGGGTGCGTGAGAGGAGTACGGGTTGTGGAAGGGAACAAGCAATTTTACCAAGAGGAGGCGTGGTGGTGGGATCAGGGTTGTAAGGGCGGGAGGTAGGTTTGTGACGAGAGGGTGCAATTGCAAACGACAATACCCCCTTCATCTCTTTGGACTACCTGTGAGGGGCGGCTGGCAGGCTCAGCAGTTAGCCTCACGACATGGTTTAGGCTGTTGTGATTGTGGTGAAGCGGCAGTTTGTTTATCTTCATCGTCCGTTTTTTTTTAGATGGTGGATTAGTATAGTCGACCACAGGTAGTCGGGTGCTTAACAGCCGATGAAGGACAAGGAGGTGAGGTTTGGAGGGGGGAGGGGGAGGTCATTGTTTTGTTTAGGGTAAGGTTCCTCTTCTTTTTACCCATCTAAAATAGTTGTGTTTTGACAACTAAAAGTCCTACTATAGTCCCAATGATCCTTAAAGCTTGGCTTGGACGGGTTTCCAACCATTTTCATGAGCTCAAAGCTAGTGTTATCTCGTCCTTTGACTCCCTGTTCAATATCTCGATAAGATTCTGGATCCTTTAACTTTGTTTTCTGATCTTGAATTGTTGTTTTGGTCCTTACCGTATTTTTTTCTTCATAGTTTAGTTATCTAATTGGTCGAGTCTATTTTCAATCTATCTGCGAGAACCTTAAGAATTAAAAATCAGATATAGTAAATAATAAATATACTAAATTCGGATAAATCATCTTAAACTTATAAAATCGAAATTTAATTTGTGGATGATCTTTCTGTTTCGAGGTTCAAAGTCAGATTTTAATTTTGTGGTCTAAATACTTGTTCAAAATTCAAATGTTTACTCGTCTACTTGGGATTTGCTGATCTCTTCCGATGTTAATTCCCTAATCCCTTCAGAATTTGCGGAATATTGCTGAAGAAAATTTTCAATGGTATTTTCAAATTATTCTAGAATTATTTTGGTTTTAGTCCTAGTTTGGTTCTTGATTGTGATTTAGTTTTGAACATGGGCTCCGTCGGATGGCCAAGCGGAGCATCTTGTGGAGTTTTGGGGGACTTGTTTCGAAGTAAGGGACAAGGGGCATGAAATGATTCTTCGCAAGGATGGAGAGGGGGATGGAATAGGGTTGCTCGACGGGTACCCTTATCAGATGCGATTGGCGTTGGGTAGTTTAGGCTATCTGGTGGGTACTGGCTGACGAGGGCGAGCTCTGGCGCGATTGGTGTTGGGTAGTGTTGGTCCACCTCCTTGAGGACAGAGACTGGAATTTTTGTGGGGGCAAGGAATTTCAGGGTGATGATGGTGCTCGGCCCCTGCTGAGATGAGGTCCTCTGTAGTTCTTTAGGAGGACGGAGTTTGGGAGGACGGATGAGATTTGGATGGAGGAAGTTGTTAGTGGATGCGATTGGCGCCGAGTATCTCGGCGGGTACCGGCCACTGGTCACCAACTCCACCCAGATCAGCTGAAGGTTCTTCCTCTCGATGATGGAGGCAGGTTTTTTCTGCTTGTCTGTTTCAGGGGTTGCATGTTTTCCTAAATTTGACCTATCCTGGTTAGCCTTATCCCTTTTGGGCGAAAGTTTGCCTTCTGATGGTGATTGTGTTTGTGGGCTCCACGGGATAGCCAAGTGGAGCGTATTGTGGAGTCTGGGGGGACTTGTTTTGAAGTAAGGGGCAATGGGCGTGAAATGATTCTTTGCAAGGACAGAAAAGGGGATGGAATAGAGCTCCTCGACGGGTACCGACTAGGGGGAGCGCTTATCAGATGCGATTGGCGTTGGGTAGCTTAGGCTGTCTGATGGGTACTGGCTGATGAGGGAGAACTCTGGCGCGATTGGTGTTGGGTAGTGCTGGTTCACCCCCTTGACGACGGTGACTGGAATTCTTGTGGGGGCAAGGAATTTCAGGGTGCTGATGGTGCTCGGCCCCTACTGAGACGAGGCCCTTTGGAGTTCCCTACGAGGACGGAGTTTGGGGGGATGGATGAGATTTGGATGGAGGAAGTTGGTGGTGGATGCGATTGGCGCCAAGTATCTCAACGGGTACCAGTCACTGGTCACTAACTCCACCTGGATCAGCTTGAGGTTCTTCCTTTCGATGATGGAGGTAGGATTGTTCTACTTGTCTGTTTTAGGGGTTACGTGCTTTTCTAAATTTGACCCATCCTGGTTTTTGCTGACGTAGTCCTTTTCATTTTCATTACCATCAAAGGACGTTCCCTGCTCAGTTAATCCCCCGGATTCCAAGGTAATCAATGCTGGCAGGGGGAGGTCCTCTCAACTTTTCTCAAAAAAGATCCTTGTTGAGGTGTAAATGTCCTTACAGGACGCCGTACCCGGTTTCCAGCACGTGCTCCTCCCCACGAATAGATTGGAGCATTTGTTAAAAGAAAAAAAAGAAAAAAAAGCCATCTGATCTCCTTAGTGGTTGAGTACAATGATAGGCACCCCCCGAGGCCGAGCATCCAGCCTCTACTACAATCTGGACTCGACAAAAAAAAGAGGGGGTTACAAACAGCTTTTCTCCCTATTTCTGAGAGCGCAATTCAGAGAAACGAAACACAGCTGGCACAGTTGGAGCGAATTTCTCCATGGTAAAGGGAAACTCTCTGTGGTAAGGGGACAAGAGGTAACCTTTTGTAAACGAACATTGACAGCGTGCATGTCCAAGTATGCGTGTGTGGTCTGTCCCCCTAATCCCTTTGTGTCTTGTCATATCCTTCGGACTGGAGCATCGCTTCAGAATTCCCTCTCCCCAGTGGAGTGGAGCATCGCTCCTTGATAGTAGATGTGTGCGCGGCCTGTCCTCCTATTCCCTTTGTGTCTCGTCATATCTGATCTATACCTCCCCCTGACCCGATCCTAACACCCACCCCACGCCTATGGCGCTCCCGTTACTCTCCCTCCTGTGCGGATTGATCACGCTTAATCCAAAAAATCAGACTTCCAAGTACTACCCTTCAATCAAAAATTCCCCCTCATAGCAGTCCTCTTTGTGGCAGTCGACACCT